GGGCACGTGTATACAGGTGTGCAGGAAGGTGCTGGTCAAAGCAGTAGGCAGCAGGTCATCAGCACAGGCTCTGATGATGCATCACGAAGGTAAAAGCTGGAAGAACTCCCCACAGCAGCATCAGTACCTAAAGGTGTTGAGTGTCCAGAGCTTTGATTTTCGTCCTAACGTGCATCTCCTGGTTGTTTCAGTTTCCACCCTCTGATCCGCTGGTTCCAGACGCCCGACTCTGCGATTGTCACCGTGAAGCTGGCAAACCCGGAGAAGCAGCGCTGCGACTTCTGCTCGGACCGAGTCATTTATAGGTCTGTGAGATTCAGACCTTCAATGAGCGCTTGCCTATTTGGCATCACATCCAACATTCGGTGGAGGTTGTTATCTAGAGCACTTTACACAGGTGGGAGTGGGTACATGTTCACCATAATTTATTATTAATCCTTTATTTATCCAGGTAAAAAATCTCATTTCCAAGAGAGACCTGGCATCATGGCAACAAAAGTATAACCAGCCTGCATGTGAATTACACTCGAGTTTAATCGTGAGCTGTGAAAACACTGTTCTGTTTGTTATGTGACGCAAAGTTAATCAGTTCTTTGGATTAATGAAGTTATTTTGTAATCTATTCTGAATAATTCTCAGCCATTTAATTAAAAATCCATAATCTAGAGCAGATGTGCAAAATGTTTAGGCAGATACATTGAAACGCTGGTACAAGGAAAAGTCCATCACAGAGTTTATGTCCCGTAATTCAGCAAATAGTTTCTGCTCCTGTTGTTTTGATTTAATTATTCCACCCTCCCAATAAAATCTTATAATATCAGCGTTTAGTGTCACATTATTACAATTATAATTCTGCAATTAGCTTCCACGGTGCTACTTTTAAAAGGCATTCAAAGCTTATTCGTCTGCACTGCCTTCACTGTGTCATTAGTCTAATCAGTCAAGTCCAGCTTGTCGTCTTCATGGCCACCAGACATCGCTCCAGCATGTCCTGGCTCTGCCCCGGGGGCTCCTTTCAGTTGAGCATTCCCAAAACACCTCACCTGGCAGGTGTACCGCTCCGATACTGAACCACCTCAGCTGGTTTGTTTCGATGCAGCTCTACTCTGAAGTCCTCCGGAGTGATTTCCATTCTCTGACCTTTCTGCAGCCTGTAGCCAAGATCTCCTCTTTTCACTAACTTACCACAGCTCAAGAAGTCCTGTTGTGGCTCCTTGAGCTTGTGCCTTTTGGCACAACCAGGTGAGGTTCTTGATCTTTATGGACCGGTTGCCACTTCCCCAGTGTTTCTGCGTCTGTGATCGTTTAAAGTCTACTCGTTTAAAGTGTTTGTGGCCACAGGTGAGAGTAGGAATCTAAATTGTCCACTAAATGGACAGCGTCACTGTCCACATCACTGCAGACACTGCACCAGTGTGTCATTTCTGCTTGCCTGCACAAGTGCTGTAAACACTTCGGACTCCGTCTTCAGTTTGAAACCTTTCAGATTGTATTTTAGTCCATAAATGATGACACAGCCATCCTTTCTGGCTTTCTGATTGGGTATTTTCACATGACCTTTTTTTTTTTTTTTTT